GCAGCATGCAGCATTAGACTGGAGGCCGCCTCTCTTGCAGAGATGTGAAGTTGGCAGATTGACCAGGACTAGGTAAGTATCAGGGACTCGGATCTCTGGTTACTACATGACCTTCAGCCCCTTTCACTGTTTCCCACCTTCCCCGCAGACATTTTGTGCAGGAATTCTCTCCTCTACTGTACTTATAGTTTCCTTATCTGTCTCGCTTCTCACACTTATCGTGTCAGTCCATGAAACAAATTTTCATACTCCAGCCCATCTCGAGCCGGGGCTCAGTCCCTTTCTCTTGCTCAAGGGTTGTCATGAATATTACATAGTCCGGATGGTTCTCCCGGATTCCATAGTATTCTTTTACTTTCTATACACCTCCGTATATTTGTAGGATAATCTAGGTATTGAGTCTGACATGTATATAAGGAGCTCGTACTGCTCAATAACAAGCCAGACTCGAGCTGGTCTTTCCTCACTCACATTCCTCTCGTCTGTCTCCTCAGCATTGTCGTAGCTCAGTCCAGTTGGATTGTTAGTTGCTGACATTAGCTCGAGTCTCCACCAATTGCCCTACGACAATCCTCGTCACTTCCACACCAACCATCACCCATCTCCACACAATGATCCACCCTATACATACATCCGACTCTCACCCTAAATCCTAACCCTACCGAACTCTACCGCATCAAGACCCGGACCCCTGGAACCCTTCCCCGTGCACTTGCACAACTTTTACCATATCACATCTCTGAAGTCACCTCTGTAATCACTAGCCCTTAGGCGGCTAGACAGAGCTCCGTCCAATTAGAATCGTACACTGCCCTACCATAGGTGGTGTTAAACGCTTTGCGCAGCGCAAGCGGATATTTCTGAGTACGACATGGCAACCGGTTGCGACCGGGCATCGGAAAAGCGGTAGCAGTTAGATTGGCGATCCCTTTGAGAGCGTCGGACCAAAGAGACACAATTGCTCTTTGGGCTGCTACAGTATCTCTAGATCTGTATTACAATTAGCATTTTGGTTCTTATTTGGAAATTCCCATCTCTGGCGAATTCTACCCCTGATCTGGTCGTTACAACACGATTAGTCCCAGGGTTTGCTGCAAACAGCTTCACGAACCCAATAATCCATGACCACGCCCTCTTGTGATTGTAGAGGACATACACACTGAGAGTTAGAAGGGAGATCTATCTACATACGCGGCGATTACGTATGGTACTGTGTGCAACAACCGTGCCCACATTCTCCGGACAATAGCAGTCGTTGTCCTCGGTGCAGAGAAGGATTACGTAGAGGACTGCTACAAAGAGTTCCCACAGGAGGACCTTCAGAATCCCTCGCAGTCTCACAACCCGCAGCATCTGGTTCAGAAACCAGAACTAGATGGGACACTCTCAAATCGGTCACTGACCATCTACGCTCAATCGCCCTTGGAGAATCAGAAGCACTACCAGAGGGCCCACCAAACCCCGTAGAAGAAGCTGTAGAAGATTCTGAAGCTTTGAACCCGCCTTCTCAACGTTCTCCCACTTCACCCTCATCCCCATCCGATCCCAGTGCAATGGCCAAAGTCCAAGACAATGCCGCCTTCATAAATGGAAGCGCGATGAAACCAGATGCCTTTGACGGCACAAAATCCAAGTACCTTCCTTGCTTGGAAGACGCAGATGAAACTCTACGTAGTTATGCAGAGGAAGCGACTACCTGAGCAATTTGACAGGGTTATGATGATCCTGTCCTACATAAAAGGAGGACACGCTGGCAAATACATTGCCACGTACATGAAAAAATACGACACCGATGAAGAGATGGTGATCCAGACAACCAAGGCACTATGGGAAGATCTAGATAAACACTTCCTAATTGATGAGGCATCAGAAGCCTACGATCAGCTGCAGGCGATGCAGATGGGCGTGCTATCAGCGCAAGAATTCTTCTCTAAGTTTGAGTTGTGCGCCTTCCCAAATATTCATGACTTCGAGAAGCATTTCCAAAAACTCAAATCGCTTCTGGAAAGGGCACTACGGGCCGACATCATTTGGCTCCTATACAACTCATCAGAGGAAATTCCGACTACGTACGCGCTGTATAAACAAAGGGTCGCCCATATCGATCTAAATCAACAGCAGTATCGTAGACGGAATCCGCAATCCCAGCGGCAAGGACAAATTCCAGCCTCGGCAGCAGCAGCAGGCACCAAACGCACCACGAGCGCAGAGTAATGTAACCGTGCCAACTGCAAACGCTCCGGTTCAGACACGCCGCGATGGGACAGACGTCACGTTCAGCGGCAGAGGCCAACCAATGGAACTAGACCAGGCATGATGCATGGGCTTTTGCTTCCGATGTGGAGAAAAAGGCCATCTTTTGTGCAATTGCCTTAATTGGCAACAAGCTCAACAAGTACGAGCTGCAGAAACCCCGGTAGTTCCCACCGCTAATACATTCACGCCACTCGCATCACTCAACGAAGCCTCTGCCGCGACGGCAGAACCATTTGATTGGAAGACGGCAATTCGCGAAGAAATTTGCGCGGCCATGAAGGGTTTTGCAAGCGGTCAGCCAGGTGCGTAGCCGAGTTGACTGATCGTAACTTTACAAACTATCTGTGTTCTTGGTTTGGAGTAGCTATGTATATACCAGAAAAAGGGGCGTCTGCAGAGCAGCGCGGAGAGGCTCAACCCTCTTGCTTAATTCCCCCGAATAAAAATTTATCTCCTGTCCCAGAACAACAGACTGAACCTACGCAGTGGCAGCGCCACACCCCATGGACGGCGGCATGGATCTGCCAGTGGATAGTCAGCAAGGAAGCAGCAGCACTTAGGTTGCTGGCTGAATGAGTACACTCAAAGAAGAGTGCTGACGCCTCCGAGACCTGTATGAATCAGATCAGGCAAATGAACAAAGAGGAAGCAATCAACTTCCTAAATGAATTACAGAAACAGCCTTGCTTTGTTCGAGGAAGGAAAGGGACGCAGATGGATGTCCCTATGATTATTACTACCCTGGATACACAGCAGCAATTATCAGTTAAAGCGCTGTTAGACACAGAATGTATGGGATCATCGATTGATGTGCAATTCATACGCGACAACAATATCACCATGAAGAAGTTGCCATCTCCAATCCCGGTATACAATGCAGATAGAACGCACAACACCGGCGGAGCAATCACAGACTTCGTGGAACTAAGGGTCGAAATTCAGAATCACGTTGAACGGCTTCCTTTTGCCGTTACTGATCTAGGGAAGACTCCAATCTTCCTAGGATATGAGTGGCTCCAGATTCATAACCCATCAATTGATTGGCAGGAACAAATTATTCAATTTGATCGATGCCCGGTCACTTGTAAATATGCCACCCGATTAATTGATATCGACACTGATCATGAAGAGCCCAGCGATCCGGAGGCTTGCCTGGAAGAAGGGGATAGAATCTTTATTCTAGACCACGAAACCCACTTTGCTACAGGGGCAGCACGTATTCGCACCACGACCACTGAACTAGCCATTAAAGAGAGTCTGAAACACAAGACTAGGATGTTTGAGAACACCGTCCCAAGTCACTATCACGATTACTCCGATGTGTTTAGCAAAGAAGACTTTGATTCTCTACCGCAAAGAAGACCATGGGATCATGCAATCAAACTTACACCAGGCGCGCAACCAATCAGTTGCAAGGTTTATCCAATTTCGGTGAACGAACAAAAAGAACTTGACAAGTTCATAGAAGAGAACCTCAGAACCGGAAGAATCCGACCTTCGAAGTTCCCGTGGGCTTCTTCCTTCTTCTTTGTCAAAAAGAAAGACGGACGTCTTCGACCCGTACAAGATTATTGGAAGCTGAATGATCTGACGATCAAGAATCGCTGCCCACTTCCTTTAATACAGGAACTAGTAGACAAGTTGAAGCAGGCGTGGTACTTTACGAAATTGGACGTCCGATGGAGATACAACAATATTTGCATCAAAGAAGGTGATGAAGAAAAAGCTGCCTTCCTCACCAATCAAGGACTGTTCGAACCGCTAGTTATGTTTTTCGGTCTCACGAACTCTCCAGCTACGTTCCAAACTATAATGAACGATATATTCTGAGACCTCATTAGTCAAGGACACATAATAGTCTACTTGGATGATATCATGATCTTCACTCAAGATCTGAAAGAACACCGTCGGATCACGCGGCAAGTTCTACAAATCTTGAGGGAACACAAACTTTACCTAAAACCGGAAAAGTGCGAGTTCGAGAAGACAGAAGTCGAATACCTGGGTATGATAGTAGGAAAGGGCGTCGTTCGCATGGACCCAGTTAAGATAGAAGGAGTCATCAACTGGCCTCGACCCGAGTGCAAACGAGATATCCAAGCATTCCTCGGCTTCACCAACTTCTACCAAAGATTTATCCGAGACTACGGCAAAATAGCAAAGCCCCTTAGTTCATTGATAGGAAATGCTACCTTCGAATGGACCATTGAACAAGAAGTGGCATTTATGAGCCTGAAAGATGCACTCTGCTCTGCACCAGTATTGACCATACCCAATGACGACGACCCCTATCACGTAGAATGTGACGCGTCGGACTTTGCCGTAGGAGCTGAATTAGCCCAGAAGCAAGATGGTAAATGGAAGCCCATCGCCTATCTATCCAAAGCCATGACAGCAGCTGAAAGAAATTACGAGATTTATGATAAGGAACTTCTCGCAATCATGACTAGTCTTAACGAATGGTGCCAGTACCTCATGGGCACCCGGCATCCGTTTGAAATATGGACAGACCACAAGAACCTAGAATACTTCCGGAAGCCACAGAAGCTCAATCAATGACAAGCTCAATGGGTAACCAAATTAGCTGAGTATCACTACTCGCTACATCATAAATCTGGAAAGACAAATGGCAAGGCCGATGGGCTGTCTCGACAGAAGAGACACAATGCAGAGAAAGAGGACAATTCAGATATCGTGTTATTAAAACCAGAACATTTTCGTGCCCTAATCCGTAGTACTGTATTTAGTTTAGAAGGAATCGACCAGGATTGGATCGCAGAAATTAAAAAATACAAAAAGAACCAAGACTTGCTAGTTACTGTAGCTTTACAGAACAAGGACAAAGACTGGAACGAAGATAGCACCAGACTCGTGACGTGGAAAAACTGTATTTACGTACCAGTAAATAGGAAACTCCGTGAGCAGATCATTGTTCATCACCATGATACCCCATTGGCCGGACACCCTGGTCAATACAAAACACACGAAATGGTCACGTGTAACTACTGGTGGCCTAGAATCCGAGAAGACATCCGAAAGTACGTGGCTGGATGCGAGAAATGCCAGAAGACCAAGGTTCACACAACACGACCTATCAGACTTCTCTTCCCCAATGAAATCTCTACGTGACCCTGGGAAGTAATTTCTGTAGATAAGATAGGAGTATTACCAGAATCCTTTGGGTATAACACTATTCTCGTAGTCGTCTGCATGTACTCCAAGCAGATAATCATGATACCGAGTAACATTGAACTCAATGCCGAAGGATGGGGAAAAGCACTTCGCGATCATGTGGTAGCACATCACGGACTACCCCGAAAGATCATCAGTGACAGGGGTACTGAATTCGAGAACAAATTCATCTCCGAACTGTACCGATCGCTTGGAATTGAAGCCAATCCCTCCACCGTGTATCACCCTCAGACCAATGGACAAACAGAACATATCAATCGCGAGATAGAACAATATCTCCGATTATTCATTAACTACTGACAAGCAGATTGGGCCGAATGGTTGCCACTCGCGGCCTTTTCATACAACAATAAAGTCCATTCGTCCACCGGGTATACTCCGTTCTTCGTCAATAAAGAGTACCACCCTTATGAAGGAACCCAACCGGTGCGAGAAGGACTAAGTGAAAACGTCCAACAGTTTGTTGATAGAATGGATTGAGTACGCGAGGACACTAGCGCGGCTATCAGTCTAGCACAGGAATCCATGAAGTGCTTCTACGACAGAAGGAGAAAGAGCGGGCCAGAATACAAAGTTGGGGATAAAGTTTGGCTAGAAGAGATAAACATCCAAACAGACAGGCCAATGAAAAAGCTCGACAATAAGCAATATGGACCTTTCAAGGTCAAACGCAAAATCGGCGCTTCCGCCTACGAGTTGGAACTCCCACGTCAATGGAAACAACACCCCGTTTTCAATGAAAGCCTTCTCAGCCCCTTCAAAGAACCCACGTATCCCTCACAGCGACATGAACCGGTAGTCCCTGACCTCGTAAATGGCGAGGAAGAATGGGAAGTTGAAGAAATTTTGGACTCCCGTTGTGATCGAAACAGAAACCTAGAGTATCCGGTGCTCTGGAAGAACAGCCCCCACGGCGATCGCCGTTCCTGGGAATCACGGGCAAACTTGACCAATTGTCAGGAACTCCTTCAGGAATTCCATGCTAGACGTCCTGACAAACCTGTGCCTATGACGATCAGAATCTCCCCTTTATTAACACAACCCGTTCACATGCTCACGCGCGATATCACTCTTTTGATACAACGGATGGGTGGGATTCTCCCGAAACAAGGATCTGAAGAGTCTGCTGGGCTTGATCTTTACTCAGCTGAAAGCGTTAAGATACCAGCACGAGATCGCAAGATTGTTGGCACCAGCATAGCGATGCGTGCCCCTCACGGAACCTATGCGCGGATTGCGCCACGAAGTGGGTTAGCAGTCAAAGGGATAGATGTTGGCGCTGGAGTCGTAGACCGAGATTACACCGGAGAAGTGCGTGTAGTGTTGATTAATTCCACCAATCAATCTTTTCAGGTACGCGCCGGCGATCAGATTGCACAAGTTATTCTGGAACGCATTGCATCATGCGATATCGAGGAGGTGTCAAGTTTAGCAGAAACCCAACGAGGATCGGGAGGCTTTGGATCAACTGGTAAATAATCGTGAGGACACGATTCTAGACGGGGGGTAATGTCATGAATATTACATAGTCCGGATGGTTCTCCCGGATTCCATAGTATTCTTTTACTTTCTATACACCTCCGTACATTTGTAGGATAATCTAGGTATTGAGTCTGACATGTATATAAGGAGCTCGTACTGCTCAATAACAAGCCAGACTCGAGCTGGTCTTTCCTCATTCACATTCCTCTCGTCTGTCTCCTCAGCATTGTCGTAGCTCAGTCCAGTTGGATTGTTAGTTGCTGACAAGGGTGCACTCTTGCATAGTCTGCATGCATTACTGAGTCTCCTTTCTTCACTCTAACAATCAACCTCATGCCAATTCCTTCATGGTTTAAGTATTGCTCACTGCACATTGGCTTCCAGTACAGTAATTTTTATGGTCAGTCAGTCGGCCCTGGTAAGCTCCTGCTCATGCAACCTGCCTGCAGCTGTGCATAATAGACTCACCAGCCAGATATGGCCTCTAATTTTTTAGTATCATTGGCTGTGTCTCATCGCCAGTTCATATGTTTCACACAGCTAAAATTCCAGTAAGTATGGGCTGTGAGGGGAATTGCCTGTGTGCATATGTATTTGCCGGTGAGGGTGAGTCTCTTTGCCGGCGAGACTTCGTTTGACAGCAGTCAGTTATTATTTGGCGGCGGAGTTGAACGCGTTTACTGGCATTACTTATGTTTTTGATGGCGGGATTTGAATTTGTATGCTGCGCTAATTTTTATGCAAACGGGCCACCATAGTGGGCGCCCCTGACTAGTGTTGCCGCAGATTCGGATTCTATCCAGATAGAATCCGATCCGGCCTGATAGGTTGCCAATCTGTTCAATCCAGATGGGCGCAGATTCAAGCCGGATAACTTGTTGCAACCCACTCGGAGAATGCTGACTCAGGTGCCATCCATCAATTCTAGGTCGACGTGGTCACGCAAGACTGCACGAGAACGCATCGCGTCCATGGTAAGTGTTTCTCGTGTTTCGATTCATTGCCTGTAGCTGTGTTTGCCCCCTTTCACCTCCGTTATTTCCTGAGGTTGTTGCTAGAGTAACACGACAGATCAATATATTTATTTGAAAAAATCACACAAGACCTGATTACTGTACAAGCTACTGCCCAGGGACCAGGGCAGCCGGTATGTTTCTTTTAACTTGAAACAACAAGCGACTCAAGCCACACTTCACAGGTCAATAATCTGGCTCCCGAGTGTGAAGTACACAGTGCACTCTGCGCGTTTTTCTCTCTCTGGTGCTCAGCTATAATACATCAGGTGCAGCTGTGTTAAACAAGCCCACCGGTTCTCATTCTCAGCCTCAAACCCATGCTATGAGTCAGGCCCAGCAACGAGAAGACCCCATTAGTTGTCCCCACCTGCCTGTAACTCCCTACTGGCACCACTCAGCCTATCCGCACCTACTTCAACCTGCCGGTCCACATCTTCACAGTCAGCCCCCTCCTTCTGTTTGAGCTGCACTGACACCTCAGAACTCCGGGCTGGCTGTCTCAGTGTCAGCCCAGTCGCCTCAGCAGCCAGTACAAGCACCGAAGCAGAAATGCGGATGCAGTGAGGGCGCAGCACTGCCATCAAATCAATGCATCAATCGGCCAGCTGCACAAATATCTGAGCATCGCACATAAAAGCAAAGCATATGCTGTCGCAATGGGTGAGCGCCATATTTTTCTTAATGGAAAATTCGTTGTACCAAGCCTTTTTTTCAGTTGTACACCCTGGTTTCAAATTTACCTGGATAGACGAGCACTGGACAGCCAAAGAGGCTGCGGATGCCTAGCGCTGGCTTCGAGAAGCGGTGCATAGATCTCCTCGTTGTACATATATGCTAAACTTACTCCTGGGTGTATTACTTATAAATGCTTGAATCTTGGCGACAGCTTTGTTCTTCACAGTTCAATCTTTCCCCCAGTGGCCCGTTTCCACCATCATCCCAGAGTTTCACAGCTCGCTCACAGGCTCACGGTGTAGGCTGCATCCACGCATTGCTCTGAGAACTCTCTGATGAGTCTGTAAGCACCTCAGCTACAGCTCAAAGGAGCAGTGTACAGTCCGAGGCAGCCACCATCGAGCCAGATGTCGATGATAGTCATATTTTGGGGACAGATTATGCCCGCACCATTGAGAAAGAGGCAACTCAGTATGAAAAGGGGGGTGCTCTCCCTGACACTGAAACAGGGCCGAGCTTTGATATCTGTCACACCTGGCAGGTACGTCACTGCAGTGCATTATCTTACTGTCGCTCACTACGTTACAGGTCAATCAATATCGCTTTCCTCTGATTTATCACGTCACACTGGATATTCTGCCCGTGCAAGCTTCTGCTGTCCCGTGCGAGCACGTCTTCTCATCGAGCAAGGAGATGGATACTCTCTGAAGGATTAATTTGTCCCCTGAAGTGATGGGGGGGCTTCAAATTCTGAAGCATTTGTATCTGTGGCAGCACGGTGAGAGGCGGCAGGCAGGCTTCCGAGGGTGATCTGGCACTGGCAGTCTCAGTAGAACAAATTGATAGAATGGTTGCAGAAGGCCATGTGAACGAACTAGAGAAGCTATTAATGAGACTGAATCCTAATAATTTACTAATACATCTGCTACGCTGTCCCCACTTGAGCCTCGCCAGTCTCCGTCTGCTCAGTGAGTACAGTTGCCTACCATATATAGTGTCTTTGTCAGCTTTTCCACAACCTGCCAGATTATCTGGCGGCCAACTCATCATTATCCGCTACGTGCAGATAATGCCAGATTTTAGACCGGTCCAACTCGTGGCTCATCCACGGCAACACTACCCCCAACAAGCTCTGCGCCAGGCACCAGTAGAGTTGATTCATAACCGCTGACACAAACGAAGAGAAGGACTTGAAAGTTATGAAAGACCCACAGCACAAAACAGCACGAGAATTATTATTATTTAGGCAAAATTCAATTGAGCAAATGCAAGACGTGCAGTAAGTGGATGTGTGGGCAACCCCCCAAAATCCCATCTTAGTGCTTCGCATGCATACAAGGCAGTGCGAAGAGTCACGAGTGTAAGTAGAAAGATATTTATGTGATTCTAACATCTGTGCGTAATGTATACATGGTGATCTTCTCTCAGGATTCCGAGTTATCAGTGATGACAAGCCTGAGTTTGCGGCAGAACCCTTGGGATCCGCTTGGCATGGGGTATGCATTTTGAGCTACCAGAGAAATCGCAAGTTTCTGACTTTGATGCACGACGAACTCAAGAACTGACCCTGCTGGCTGCACCTCCTTGGCACGAATGTCGCAGGAACAAGCACCATGAGCATGCTGTCTTTGATGCTATCTGGCAAGCTGGATATCCTGTTGTAGTAGACAACATGCGAATATTTGGATATCTTGAGCCAAAGGACGTAGCGCAGTACTTGGTATGGGACATGGTCCATCGACATTATTGAATATGAGGAGGTCAAAGAATACCTAGCAACAAGGACACTGGAGGAGTTCATGAGCCAACTATGCACCGAGAGGTGCTGCGGTCAAGTAAACGTAAGTCCGTGCATTCATTCTGTATGCGCATAAATTTCATAGCTCTATGGAGGGCTTCCGGCCACAGAGAGTTCTCGCGACATTTTTGACCGTTTTGGAAACCAATCTGAGGATTCGCTAGCATAAAAAGACGCAGCAATTAGTCACAGAGGCTTGCAAAATTGGTAGCACACTGGCTTCGTCTCTTTCTCGCGGAGGAGAAGCTTTCTCCTGGTCTAGAGAGGCTAAACCTTGGTGCGTTGCCCAGAAGATGCAATTAATGTTCGTCCTGATTCCAACCTCTGGACGGGGCCTAGAGTGTACACCAGCAGCCAAGACTATTTCAAAACTGGTTCAACCAAGCTGTACAAGAATATGTTTTCCTTAGTGAATCTAATGTCATTCTCCACTAACGATCCATCAACAGGCGAATGTGGTGCAGTGTGGCAGATCGTCATGCCCTCTGACGCAGATAGATTTTCACATTTTCTTTGTGGGACCAAGGGCCTCACAAAGCAATATCCAAATCTGGTACATCTTCAGCGATATTTCCTGAATGGTGACATGTTATCAGAACTGCGCAGCAAATTCGGCATATGGCCCTTCAGGATTGAGCAGAATTTGAGACACACGGTTCTGGTTCCTCCTGGAGCTCTATATCAGGTACGCGAGTTGTGAGGCAAGTAAGTCGTCATGCTCACCTTGCTCAGGTTTCCAACTTGGGTCCGTGCATGCAATTTGCCACCAAATTTGTGGACATGGAAGGCATCAATCAGACCCTGGGGGTGGATGAGAAAACCGGGCACGAAGGGATTCAGAACCATCTACAGCCCATCTCAGTCCTGTAGTATGCATGACAGTCATATTCTAACATACAAAGGTGTTACAAGTCATCAAGCAAGATCAAACAACTAGTGGCAGAACGAGAATGTCAAAATCGACAACACTGGCGAGCGGCCAGCTCCAGAGCCTTGGTTTTACTCTTGCCCATGCCCAGATTGTGGTAATCAATAAGCTATTTGTTTTAGACTCAATGATTCAAGCTCCGGGACAGCGGCGCCCTTGCCCAGGCACACTATACAGTTTCTGTAGAATTGCCTTGTGTTAGTCTCAAACTTGGCTTCCCTTGTCCTTTAACGTTCTCTGCAAATTGTATGAGCTTCTACTACAGAATAGACAGATCTGCTTTGTAGGCTATGATGGGGGAACATGAAATGTGATGGATCCAGCTGACCAGGCAGCCTATGCTTACATCAGTTCCCACACTCCTTCAGACATTTTAGGTGGTGGGTGTATATTTAAATTTGATTGTAATGCTCACTTTACCCTCGACTATGTGATCATCTTGCTCTCTAGCTAACATATCAACCTAGACAGCTCATTGAGCCATTCTGAGACAAGTCTCATAGCCCAACAAGGTTGGATACGACAAAGATGTTACCCATTGCCATCACACTTGCCGCAGTTTTTGTGGTAACCCACGTATTCAACTACTTCAAAGCCAAAAGAGTACGTCCTTTTGTACCACTGGCTTTATCACCAACTTAAAGTAGGTTGGCTCAGGATTTGGAAAATTTACCTAGCTTGTGGTCTTTGGTGGCGCCCCTCTCTCTGCTGGGCTTTGCCTTGCCTGTCTCCCACATGAACCCAGGCCACGAATGGCAGTGGAATCTTAGGAGCAAAGGTATACCCATGCATACATCTGTATTAAGGGTGTTATTGGACAGAAATAAATTCTCACCTTCGCACTGGCTGCAAAGTTTTGTTTTCGATGTGCGTCTAGGATTTTGCATGCGTGTTCATGCACTTTCATGCATGTTTGTGCGTGATGATGCGCGTTTGGTCACTAACGTGTGCCATCATGCACAAAGCTCACGTTTGTGCACTTTTGTGCATGATGTGGACTTGTGTCGACACACCACGAGGGATACTGCGTGGATCTAATCAGAAGGCGGCGCCGACGAGGTCTGGCGACTAATGCGTTAGCTTGTTCAGCTAGCCCAATTAACCAAGTGTATTAGCAATCTATACTACAATACAAGTGAAGGCTTACCTAGCCCAATTAACCAAGAGGTTGAGATGGGGCTAGGTAGCGACAAAGGGACTCCTTATATACTAGTCAGGCTGCGCACGGACCAGGTGTTACATAAGCGACTGTGCTATGGCGGTCTGCTAGTATCTGGAGGACTTTGGCAGAGAAGCGAGGGCCGGTGTGTCATAGCGTATGACGTTGTCGGGCCGACGGGGATAGGAAGTCCGTTGCCGATCGGACTCGGAGATAGACGGGGGCCAATGTGTCATAGCTTATGACGTTGCCGGGCCGACGGGGATAGGAAGTCCGATGGAGATCGGAGTGCGGCTGTTACCGAGGAAGCGTGATGCGGCGACGAGGCGGCGGTGATGTAGATGCATCTGATGCGCTGATGCGTGCCTGTCGGTGATGTGTTCTCGAGGTGTTAGCGCGCGGCTACGGCTTGTAAACTGGCGCTTTATGCGCCGACGACGTTTGGAGGGTCGTATAATCGTGGAATAAATTGGAGAAAATGGGAATAAAATAGGAGGCCGGGGCTACGCCCACGACATTACCCCCCCCTACAATCGAGACTCCTGGCGAGAAGATATGGCCTGTATTCTGCCTGTTTCCCACTCGAATTCTGCCGCTTTAGGGTTAGTGGCGAGTGTAGAGCTGGGATCGGTGTGTTCATAGATAGGCTTGAAGCAACTGTGGAGTTCGCTGAAGGAGGTGG